GACCGGCTCCAGGCCCGTGCGCACGTTTTTGTTGTTGCACCCTTGGCGCCGTCTTCAATTCGGAGATTGGGCCGCCACGCGTCCATGCCTGTTCCTCGCGGCTTCAACGGCTGGGCCCCGAGAGGTGCATGAATGGGTGCCGGAGCGCCGGCAAGTGTGCAGACGGCTGTGCGAGCGAGCATGAGGTGTGTTATGCTCCCAAGGGCGTGTGTAAAATGACGACTCGGGCCCTGGCAACGTGTGCCCGCCCCCCGGTGCGCATGTGTCTCTCTCTCTCTCTCTCTCTCTCTCTCCCTTTCCTGCCGTCTCCCAGGCCTCTCGCTTGAGGATTTTCACACATTCTTACTATTACGCCATTGGTGGAGCAAGCCACCAGAGATGTAGGTCCAGCCGGCCCGTAAGTTCACTCGTCGAATAAATTACAGCCGATCCTCTTCTTACAGCCAGGCGCCCGGCCTTTTCTCGCCCATGACAGAGGCACGCCCACAGACTGATGCCCTGGCTTCACTCACGTAGACTCACTGCTCTCGCGGTCTCCCCCGTCACACGCACACACTGAGTTTGTGTGTGTGTGTGTGTGTGTGTGTATGTGTGTGTCTTGTCTCGCTTGCTCATCCAGTCGCCTCCTTGGCGGTCACATTGTGTTCTGTGTCTATCCCCCCCCGTCCCCCCTCCCCCTCCCCCCCCACACGGCCCCCTTGATGAATTTGCGCACACCAACAGACCAGCAGCCGTTCTGCAGGATACAAGAATGGGAATCAGAACACCTCCGGGCGATATCACATGAGACGCGCGCCACCCACATTCCGTCGGCAGTATCGGCCAGCCATTCGCCAATACGGGTAACTGGGTTCTCGTGAGGCGCACTGAGGAGCTCCCTCCGCGGAACCGCTGACGCCCCGGGGGGGGGGGGGCGGGGGTGAGTGAAGCAGGTCTGGGCCGAGGGGTGGTCGTCGGGCGATGGGCAAGTCAGGAGAGTGGGCAAGCAATCGTCCAAGGCAGGTGCTGGTGACTTCGGGACTGGCGGAGATTCTTCCATCTTCCTGCGCGTGTCTTGGGGGAGCATGCGTGGCGGCGTGTGCCACGGCGCTGTGCCCCCTTCCGCTTGTACCTGCCTTCCTTGGGCAGAGCTGGGTGACCCAGCCGGGTATTATTTGCTGCTGGGCGCTGTCTTGCGTATGTGTGTGTGTGTGTGTGTGTGTGCGCATGAGGGGGTATCACCCAATGGTCCCTGTTGCGTCTCCTGCTTCCCCGCGGCGTGTGGTGCAAGCGAACACCGCCGGCTTCCTTTCGGAACCCTTCAGGTTGATCGACGTGGGGCCGCCCCCAGGGATGGGGGCTCCTCGTGCCTCGATGATGGCCAGAGGGGTGTGTGGTGGCAGTGCGCGTCGGAGCCCTCAGCCCGAGCCTGCTGAAAAGAGCCCCAGCTTGGGAGCCTCGGACGGATGTGCCTCTCAGCATCCTCCCCTTCCCCCCCTCCCCCTCCGAGTCGCGTCCTATCTACTCGCGTCTCCCCCCTCCCGCCCCCTCTCCCGCCTCCTCTTTCTTTCTCCCCCTTTCCCCGAACATCGCCTTCCCAATGTCCGAGGAGAAGCCCCAGATCAAGTCCGACGTCGTGTCCATCAAGGTCATGAACCAGGTGCGCTTCCTTCCCTTTCTTTTGTGTCCCGGATCTTCCTGCTTTCGCACCAATCGGTGTCCTGACCCCTTCTCCTGCCCCGCCTCCCCCCTGTCCCACGACAACGCGCATATAGGACCAGTCGGCCATCACTTTCAAGCTTAAGCGCACCATGCCCCTGCGCAAGGTCATCGACGCCTACTGCGAGCGCATGGGCATCCAGAAGTCCGGCTTCCGGTTCTGCTTCGACGGTGAGCGTATCCACGAGGACCAGACCCCGGAGGAGGTGTGTTCTTTCTCCCCTTTGGGGACCCCCTGTCGGCAGCATCGCCCTGCCATCCACGCCACGCCCCGCGTCCCCTTGTGGCGACATCTCCCCGGGCTTGTGATGATTAACCCACCCCCACATTTACCCGCCCTTTCTCGCCTTTCTCCACCCTCCCCCCCCTCCCGTCGTTCCAGCTTGACATGCAGGATGATGACATCATCGAGGTGATGCTCATGCAGGTCGGTGGCTCCAACTAGGCACTCGTGCTGCTTGGTTGCCGCCTTCCTCGATGCATTCCGTAGCCCGATTTTACCCTCCTCGGGGCCGGGCTCTGCTTCCTTCCGCCTTTTCAAATTCCCCGGCCACACACACCCTCTTTTATCTTTCTCCTCCTCGTCTCTCTCTCTCTCTCTCTCTCTCCATCCCATGTTGTGTCCGCCATTGCCTCCCTCGATATGAACCATTGCGTGGCGGCTTCACTATTGTGTGTACTCGTGCGCATGTTTCCTCCCCTTTCTCTGTACCAATAAAGACCCCTCTCTTTGCTATCGGCTTCTGTTCCTGGTTCCCCAACAGGTGCTCCCCTCCGGCGGCCTTGCCTCCATGTCCCCCTTCGGGGATTGCCCATCCTTTTGGCGGAAAGTGCCTGCCTCGCCGGGCCACGGAGCCGGCGTCTCGGATGGCGAGGGAGAGGGGGCAGCAAGGAGGCGATTGGGCCAGGCAGGGCTGGTGCCAATATCAAATCACGTGATGAGGGCGTCGATTGATGCCCAATCAGCACTCGACGATCTCTCTCTCTCGTTCTCTCTCCCTGCCCTCGGGTCGCGCCTATTTTCGGCGGCTTCTTCGCGGAGTCCCTGCTCCGGGCATATGTGGGCGTGTTGTGTGCGTGTTTCTGTGTGTTTGCCTTCCGAGGTGTGTCTGTCATGTCGCTCGTGCTCTGGCCCACACACGCACACGCTAGACACACCTGCCGGGGTTCAGCCCGAGGGACTTGCCGGGCTGGGGAGCGACGTGCGAGCCCGGCCGACTGTCCTGGCGCTTTGTCCAGTGGCCGTGGATTTGATCCGAGGACCATTTCAGCGATCTGCCCATTTGGATGGGACCTTCCCGCCGAACGAGTTACCTGCCCGCCCCTTCTCCTCGCCCCCTTTGCGCCACTTTCTCCCCATTTTGTCATTCTCCTACCTCCCCCCTTCCCCCGCCACGGCGATTGCACTGAGGCGCACCATGCCGCGCGGGACTCGTCTCGTCTCCCTGGCTCTCGGCCTACTGGCTGCCCTGCTGGCTGCTCTGGCCGGCCCGGTGGCGATGGTGGCCGCGGCGCCTCACCGCGATGTCGATGTCTCAGCAAGCGCAGTCGGATCGGCACACGCCGCGGCCGACTCGGCTTACTCCTTCTTCACAACCAATGCCGGGGCCGCGGCTGCCGGTGACCGTGGTGACGGCCACTCCAACAACTGGCTCGTGCTGGTATGGGCTCTTTTTCCGCCTCCTCTCGTCAAGTTGCCGCGCCGCCGGTTCCCCAGCCCGCCGAAAATCCTCCCTGCTCCTTGGTAACCCCCCTCT